AAGTAGGCCAGACCAGGTACACATGGCAGTTTTCCTTCTCTAAAATGAACTGCACAGATTTTTATGACAACTAATGACAGCTTTGTGGTCATAGATAATGAGACTAACTTTCATTCCCGATGTTTTATTAATTGAATTTAATTAATAGTTGCTAAGGTGGATTTGAACCTGTGTTCCCAGAGCATTAACCTGGACCTTTTGGATTACTAGTTCAATGGCATTACAATTATACCACCATCTCCCTTCAACCTCCAGAGGGGATGATGCAAATTCATTAGAATGATACTTGATATGTGGAAAACCAATTGAGGAAATACTGGGGAACTTGTTGTTGCCACAAAACCAATTCCACAGTGATGTGCTTGAAGAGATGTTTAAAGTCAAGATGGAATGGGACAGAGTAGCTAGAACTGTGCTGTTGCCATTAGTTGTAGGGACAGTTGGAAGAATAAATAGAAGGGACTTCGGATGGAGAGCAGAAACCTGTTTGATTTTGATTTTAATACTGAGCAGTTGAGGGGTTATGGAGTGCACTTCTGGAGTTAATATTAAAAGAAGTAATCATATCAATATTTAGAAATGGACAATACAGGCTGCACCTGTTTCAACTCCATGAAATAGGTGACACCTGTACCCAGGTGCTCAGCTCAGTAATGTCCTGACCAACCAGAGTCAAACTGTCTGATTTAAAAGTTAAACAAAGCCTGGTTGTTAACTGTCAGTCATCATTAATTGATGCATTCTCCATGGCAATACCTCCACCAGTCAGTGCTCTCCTCTCATTCGGAATTAATGTTAGCTTTCCCTTGAATTAGAATTCTTGAATTGTCCCAATGTGTGCAAGATGAAAAGCTTTGATAAAATGCCTTTTGTTTTCCAACAATAGTCAAAGCTATCTTAAGTTTTAATAGATTAACCAAGTGTCGCTGAGTGACCAAATCTTAAGTCTGTAGCTCGAGGAATACTTTCCACCCGATCTTGTTTCTAGTAGTAAGTGACAGTACCATTTCTGAAGAAGGGTCCCGACCTGAAATGTCAACTTTCCTGCTCTGATGCTGCCTGGTCTGCTGTGTACCTCCGGCTCCACACTGTGTTATCTCTGACTCTAGCATTGGCAGTTCTTAATGTCTGAGTACAAAATCTGCACCCAGTTTTCCTTTAAGGACATAACCATTTAATGTAGTTAACATCTGGTTAATTTTTTTCCATTAAATATAGAGAACAGCTTCACATCACATTGGTGGGAAATCATAGCCTGACACTTTTTACATTTAAATTTCAGAAGAATGGCTGAAATCTGACTCAAATTCCAACTTTGTCTGTGGGAGAAAGGTTCTAATCTTCAGCGTTAGCCAACTATCCTCTGCAGTGTCAAATCAGGTCCAATCCAATCAGTGAGAGAAACAAAGATATTTTTCTTTGAGTTTATTAAGGACTCAATCTTGTAGCTCCTTACCTACAGCAGTCCTATCTGTGCTCCCCCTCTATATGTAGAACATAGAACAGGTACAGGCCGTTTGGCCCACGATGTTGTGCCGACCTATTATCCTACTAAGATCAATCTACCCTGCATACCCTTCATTTTACTATCGTACATGTGCCTATCCAAGAGTTGCTTAAATTTTCCTCATGTATCTGACTCTACTACCACTGCTGGCAGTGCATTCCACGCACCCACCAGTCTTTAAAGAGCCTATCTCGGACATCTCCCCTATACCTTCCTCCAATCACCTTAAAATTATGCCCCCTCGTGATAGCCATTTCCGCCCTGGGAAAAAGTCTCTGGCTATTCACTCTATCAAGTCATCTCTCGCCTTCTTCACTCCAATTGAGAGCTACCCAGTCTCTGGGTAGTTACCCAGTCAATTAATTAAACTACTAACCTCTCTACATTTATCAAAGTTCACTCTGCAATCGAGGAGAGTAATTTTTTTTTGTCAAAAGTGGATCATCTAAAATGAAAGTCCTGTTCACAGTAACTATTGCAGCTAACTAAAATTTGTTGTAGAACGCAAACCAGCGCATGGAAAATGTTGATCTCCTGCATCTGTCTTTACTGAATACATTATCGTTGGAGGCAAATAGTTGCACAAGGGAATTACTTTAATTGACAGAACCACTAACAACTGTTTCTATTTCTGGAGGATGGCCTTTTAAGTTATGAATGCTGTGCAAGCGTTGGTATTCACTTCGGTATTTGGAATGAGGATGCTGTATCGTTCAGTTGTTAGTTCCAATTTTCATGAATGAGACGCCTTCGTGGAATTACATTCTGACATTGGGTATGCTTTTGTCACATGACAGCATCTGTGCAAGAAAAAAAAATTGATTGCTTTCATTTATAGAATCTTAAGGAGGGATTATAGCCTGGATTGACTTGAATCTTCAGTGTGTTCTCGCAGTTGCCCCAGACTAATCATTCTATACATGAACTGGAAAATATTTAATGGATAATACTCATTTAACCTCAGGCTTTAAATATTATGTTGATAATTTTCTGTAGCATAAAAAATTTAGTTCTAAATGACATCTTGCCTATGCGAAGTTTTGCCTTCATTTCCTACTAATCTGACAGTCAACTGGCTTTGCTCCCATTCAGTGATGAGGGATGTGATCTCCAGAGTAAGAGACTTCCATTTTAGCTGGGGGTGCAAGTGGCCATAGACTCAGTAGAAGGTGGGCATTGAGCCTGGGCACTTCATTTTTCATGTGCTCCCCCTGTAGTTTCTAATGGATAATCTTAACAAGCCTTGACCCTTTATTGTATGAGGCAAATGGTAATATTTGAAAATTGACAGTGCTGATAATTTATCCATTCATTTACTGTCATCACTCCGAGAGTCGAGACCTCACCAGTGAAGGGAAACGAGGAATTTTGTTCAATTTTTGGACGCTTTCAAATATTAAAGGATTAGGAGAATATGGATTAAAGGAAAACATTTTGTCTTGATCCAATCAGAATGTAGCTGGGACTGTATTTTGCCTGAGATTTCAACTCTCTCTTTAAAAATACACTTCGTAATAACCAAACTGTAGTTTACATACTTGGAAAATTATGCATAGGTCTTCATCTTTGTTATTTCGGTAGTGTTGTAATATTGTTGGCTTATGTTTGGATTGTTATCCAAATTGTATTTTCTAAATATTGCAAAACTGTTTTGGAGTTTGCGCATTCTCCCAGTGACTGTGTGGGTTTTCACTGGGTGCTCCGGCTTCCTCCCACAGCCCAAATGTGTGGGTTAGGTGAATTGGCCATACTAAGTTGTCCATAGTGTCCATGGAAGTGCAGAGTAGTGGATTAGCCATGGGAAATGTGGTGTTGGAGGGGGGTGGGTCTGGGTAGGATGCTCTTTGGAGGGTTCTTGCAGACTTGATGGGCTGAATGGCCTCTTGCTGCACTGTTAAGGATTCTATGATTCTAAATGGTTGTGTGGAGAGATGGGAAAAAAAACTCTACAGTTGCAATACACAAGATAACGTTACTGTTGCAGCAATACTTTTAAAACATCTTGCTCCTGGAAATAGTTTTCTCTGGTTTTTCAATATTATTTTGGTTTTACTTTTTTTTAATGTTTGAAATAGAAGGATTTTTACAACAATCTGGTTGTTAGCTCATCACAGTTACTGATGCTAGCTTGGTTATTCCAGATTTTATTTAATTAATTGAATTTGAATTCAGCAGCTGCCATGCTGGGATTTGAATTCACATTTCCAAATTGCTCATCGAGTAAAAGGCTGTGACCTCTCTGCTGTGAACTGAATATTCTTCTCCTCACTATCTTACAAACCAGGCTCAAATGTGACAGCTGGTGCTTGTCCACCATTCACAAGACTCATTCATAGTGTTGCTTCATCATCTTCAAGCTTCACTAATACTGTTCTTGATATACTCTTGGAGGAGAGGTTTAAATCTTGTGGACTAGTTGATCTCCAAAGACGCTGTCTCCAGAGCTTGGGTATTACATTTCAATTTTACTGTACTTTTTTTGATGACCATCAGTAAGTAGTCTTTGTTGTAGAATGTGTTCTTTTTCTTTTTGAAAGATCATTAGGCACACTGGTAATTTGTTAATTTCAATACCTACTTCCTTCGTTCATTTCATCTGCAAGTCCAATTGATGCCTTGGTTGCATTACTGTATCAAATTCAGAAGAGAGGGAGGATGAGATTCAGTCCTTCCAGCAGGTTCTGCGGTTTTGTTTGACTTATTGCCTGCCTTTCCTTAATATCCTTTGATGTTGCGCCCTAAGCAGGATCTGTTGATCTCCACTTTGAAAAATTCAAGCATCTATTCACTTTGTAGGGTGAGGGCTATGAATTTCCATTGTTGGGGAAACGGTCTCCCATCTTTAAGAGGTAGCTTCAATTTTAGGATTATGACCCCTTTTTCAGAATTTTCCCGGGAGTGGAGATAGTTTGTTTGAGCTTCATTGAGCCCCCTTATTATTTCAAACAATTAGATCACCCCTTGACCATCTGAACACCCCTGGATGTGAAACAATTTGTGTTCATTTTAGGGACTCTTGTGGTGCAGTAGTAGTGTCCCTATCCCTGAACTGAGACCTGGGTTCAAGTCCCACCTTCTGCAGAGGTGTGTAGTTACATCTCTGAACAGGTTGATTTAGGAAAATAAGTTAAATTCCACTAGACGTGAAACAATTTGTGTGAACTGGCCTCATGATCTAATCCTTGCAGCACTTTAAAGCACATAATTGCATATAGAAGCTGACCAAGGGAAATAAACAAATGTTGTAAAAACTGAAATTGTAACTCAGACTGTTTTAAAGGCAGGTAATGTAAGCCCAAATTTATCCTTTTGTGGCAGAACATCCAACATCTTAAACAAGGTCAATGAGACTCAGTGAAGTGCATAATGAGCCTCATGAATTGTCAATGTTGCTTAGCTCCTTTGTATAGTCATAGAGTCTGACCCTTTGTACATTAACTATGGAGTGCTTTCTTACCTTCTGGAATTGAAAAACAAAACGGCGGGGGGAAACATGCACCCTACCCCAACGAACATAAAGATACTTTTGAGACCTCCTAAAGCCCCAAAAGGCAAATGCGCTCCCTCACGAGGATTAATGATGAATTGTAGGAGATAAATCGAAATGAGACGGTCTGAATCATATTTTAAGGATGGCGTTCAGTTTTTAAGTTTAATCATGCTTAGTGTTGGGAACCTTTCCTATTAAAGCAACTTAGTTACTGAATTATTCCCAAGTTATTTGCGTTAGATGCATTAGCGTATTTTGTACTCTGGGAAACTATTAGATTTGGCCAATAAAATGTTGCTGTTATACTACAGTAAGTTTCTCCTTCCAGTACTTTATAGTATTCTTCCCCAATTCCAAATGTCCCCATCACTGTTTTCCATCTTGGGCTTTTCTGAATGTTGTCCCCACTGAGCCATAATTTTGGTTCATTGAGGGGACTGCGGATGTGAAGTAATTTCCAATGAAATTTAACCAGGCACTTCCCATGCTACTTTTGGAATTTGCATGTTCACATGGAATCAACTCACCCATAACTGTGATACGGAAGTGACTTTTAATTTGTTCACAAGATCTAAACATCGTTGCCCTTAGTTGCCCTTGAGAAAGCTGGGGAGTTTCAGGAAGGAACAGTAATATATTTCCAAACCATAATGCTGTTTAACTTGGGCAAGATCTTTGTGGCGGTGTTCCCTGCATCTGCTGGCCATCTCAGTGGTAGAGGTTGCAAGTTTGGAAGATACTCTTATCAGATACTGAAGTCCATCCTGTTCATGGTACACACAGCTGTCACTGTGCATCAGTGGTAGAGGGAATAATCATTTTGATCTTGGAAATAGGGTGCTGGTTAAGTTGGCTGCATTTTCTTGGATGATGTCTAGCTGCTTGAGTGCTGTTGGAGCTGGACTCATTCAGGCAAATGGGGAATGTTCCATATGACACTCTCTTGAACTTGTGCCTTGAAGGTGATAGTCAGGACTTGGAGCACGTGATAACGTATCCAGATCTCCACTGGTTTTCTGCATTTCATAGCTTTGTTCTCAAGTGAAGGCTGCAGAATGAGTCACTGATATCTCTTTGTTCCTCTTCCTTTAGGTATTATAAACCCGAAGAATCCAAAGGAATCACCAAAGACCTTCAGCTTTGATTACTCCTATTGGTCACATACCTCGGTAAGAGTCTTTCTTGTATCAATCAATAATTTTGCAATAAAGATACCTTTGTACCAAGACCTTTAATGCCTGATTCTTGCACTGCAAAGAACCGTGGATGCTGGAAATCTGAAACAAGACCAGAAATTGCTGGAGAAACTCGGGAGGTCCGGTAACATCTGTGGACAGAGAAACTAAGTTAACATTTTGGAGCCAGTGATCCTTCTTCAGAACCTGAAGTTACTGGACTTGAAATGTAACCTGGTTTCTCTCTCGCAGATGCTGCCAGACTCGCTGAGCTTTTCCAGCACTTTGTTCTTGTTTCATACTTAAATGATATCCCTGATACCTGAAACAATGTACAGTATATCTCGGTGCCTGATTATGTAGGTTAACATGGGTGAGTCTCTCCCCTTTCCTTCCCACCACAACCCTTCTCTGGCTTTTTTTTTAAAAAGCCTGCTCCAGTGATGGTGTTATACAAATTAGAATCTCTCCCTATCTTTTCACTTGCTGCTCCTCCTGCTGAACTCTGGGTGAGTTTGTTCATGTGCAGAACTATCACGATTTCAATGTTTCCATTCCTCCCAAGTGGTTGACTTAAGATCATAAGATATAGAAGCAGAATTAGACCATTTGGCCCATTGAGTTGGCTCTTCCATTCGATCATGGTTGATATGTTTCTCAACCCCATTCTCAGGTCTTCTCCCCGTAATCTTTGATCCCCTTATCAATCAAGAATAACATTGATAACAGTCTTGGGCCAAAATAACCTTCACACCTACTCTTAGTTTGAGCAAAGGGCAGTGGGAAGAAATTAAGTACATTCCTGTTGCAAAACTGCTGATTAGAGAGCTGGACACTGCTGCATCAAATAAGTTGGTTTCAGATGTGATTTCAATAAGAGTGTAACATCATTGACTCTTAAGCAGTTAATGCAATAGTGACAGCCTATTTTATACAAGCGCTGAATGGGTTATTTGTGATTTCCAGTATAAGTCATTAAAACAAAGTGGATTACAGTCATGGATGACAAATCTGATTTGGTGTTAGGTAGTGCTCTATCCTTCATTGCCTTCTGGAAACACAAAAGACAATCTCTTCCCTTTGTTCTCTCTACTTCACCCCTCTCCACCTTGAAAGGAGAACATGAGTATTACTGGGAAAAGACACATTTTGTTGAAACTTTGTTTTGCATTTATCATAAGAATTTGCAAGAAATACTAAAGGGGACAATATTTTCATACTGTATAAGACGAGAGTGCTGATTGGCAGGTAGAAGTAACATGGCAGATGTACTAGTCAGAATGTACTTGACAAACCATTAGCGTGCTCTTCAAATATGATCAAAATGTTATCGTTCTCCCTTTACTCTTGCAAATTGTTCTGATGAGTGCAAGACCCAAAACCTTGACGAAAGGTGCCTTTTTTTTTTAAGCAACATTTAAATTCTAGCCAATAAAATGAACCTTGCGTTATGATTGAACAATCGGAACAAAACCCAACAGGTTCTTAACATTATTAGGGCTCATGAGAATTTTATTCCTTTCAAAAAAAGTTACAATGTGCAATGCAATTGGTCGCAGTGTGATTGATAGATACTTTGCTAATGGTGTTTCATGTAGAATTCACATACTTTTCCCAGGCCTACTGCAGGTGCCGTGCCCTTGCAGGGGCTACGACTTCCTGTATTCTTCTCATTTCAATTTCTTGCCTCCCTTCCCCTTTTACCAGTTACAATCCATTGATATTTGAATAGGCCATCTCAAGGATGTGACAGTATAGTGCTTCTCAAACATTTTTCTGCTGTTAACCCTGTTTGAGGCCTGAAAATGTCACAATATCTTTGCTAATGGTGGAGGGGGGAAGAGAATGCCTCCGAGTACTGGAGATGAGGATTGGGCACTACTGCCTCAGAGCTCTCAATCCCAAAATTTCAGCTTCACCCCAGTTGATGCCCCAAGCCCCATTTTGGGAAGCCCTGTGATAGGGACTGGTAATTTGGAGGTCTGGGCTAATGATCCAGACAGTTTGTATTCACTCCCATGTCACCATCATCCTACTGGCATTTGCACTGTAGGATTCCAGTTTCCTTGCATACAGGGGAACAATCTCAGCAGCTGTGTTGTTCTTTTAGTTGTCTTTAGGATAAATGCGTTTATTTTTGTCTTTGTTGTCTTCTCCAGTGAATCAAGCATAACCTGAATCTCTCTCTCTTCTCACTTTTCAGGCTGAAGATCCAGCCTTTGCTTCTCAACATCAAGTCTACAATGACATTGGTAAAGAAATGCTGCAGCATTCGTTTGAGGGTTACAATGTATGCATTTTCGCATACGGTCAAACTGGGGCAGGGAAGTCCTATACCATGATGGGAAAGCAAGATAAAGACCATCAAGGGATTATCCCGCAGGTGAAGTTCAATTTTAATTCATCAAGATGCAACTAAACATTCTGTTGATAAATTGCTTCTTATTTTGTTTAATGAGCCCCCTAAAGCCCCTCACCTTTTTCTAAATCATTAAGAATTGCTGAATCCCCACTGTCAACATCATGGTAACTGCTATTGACCAGAAACTGAACTGGACCCGCTGTATTGCTACAAGAGCAAGGCGAGGAATCCTGAAATGAGTAACTCACCACCTGATTTTCCCAAAGCCTGTGCACCATCTACAAGACACAAGTCAGGAGTGTGATGGAATACTTCCCATTTGTCTGGATGAGTGCAGCTCCAATAACACTTCAGAAGCAGCCTGCTTGATTTGGAACCACATCCACAAACACCCACTTCTGTCCACCACTGACAGTCAGTGGCAGTATGTGAACCAAAGCTTCTTCAACAGCACCTTCCAAATCCATGACCACTTCTATCTAGAAGGACAAGGGCAGCAGATACTTGGGAACGCTGCCACCACCACCCAAGTTCCTCTCCAAACCACTCCCCATCCTGACTAGGAAATATGTTGCTGTTCCTTCAGTATCACCGGGTGAAAGTGCAGGAACTCCTTCCCTCCGTAATGGCATTGTGGATGTACCTACACCAAATGGACTGCAGGAGTTCAAGAGGGCAGCTCACCAGCACCTTGTCAGGGGAAACTGGGGGTGGGAAATAAATGCTGGCTTAGCCAGGGACACCCACATTCTGTAAACAAATTGGTACATAAATAACTGAGATAGCAAGAACTGCAGATGTTGGAGTCAGAGATGACACAGTATGGAAATGGAAGAACACAGCAGGCCAGGCAGCATCAGAGGAGCAGGAAAGCTGACGTTTTGGGTCAGGACCATTCTTCAGAAATGGGGATGGGGAGGGGAACTCGGAAATAAAGAGAGAGAAGGGTGTGGGGACTGGGGAAAGTAGGTGGGATGGTGATAAGTGAGTGCAGGTAGGGAGTGGTGGGGATTGGTCAGTGAGGTGGGAGGAGTGGATAGGTGGGAGAGAAGTTGGACAGGTCAAGGAGGCGGGGATGCGAGGGAAGGTTGGTCATGCGATGAGGCCGGGGGTGGGGAGATTTTAAAACTGTGGAATTCCACATTCAGGCCATCGGGCTATTGACTCCCAAGGCAAAGTATGAGGTGCTGCTCCTCCAGTCTGGGTGGCGTCATTTTGACACAGGAGGAGGCCCAGGATGGACATGTCACCCAGGGAGTGGGAGGGGGAGTTAAAATGTTTCGCGACCGGAGGGTGGTGGTGGTGTTTGTCACGTACAGAGCACAGGTGTTCTACAAAACGGTCTCCGAGCCTCCGCTTGGTCTCACTGATGTAGAGGAGGCCACATCGGGTGCAGCGGATGCAGTAGACCAAGTTGACAGATGTGCAAGTGAACCCATATCTGATGTTGAAGGTTTGTTTTTTGCCTTCGATGGAGATGAGGGGGGTAGTGTAGGAAAGGTGTAGCACTTCCTGCTGTTGCAAGGAAAGGTGCCGGGAATGGTGGGGCTAGTGGGGAGTGTGGAGCGGACGAGGGAGTTGCAGAGAGTCTCCTTGACCTGACACAACCCGTCCATCTTCTGTCTCACCTATCACCATCGCACCTACTTTCCCCAGCCCCACCCCTCCTTTCTCTATTTATTTCCGAGCTCCCTCCCACTCCCCCTTTTCTGAAGAAGGGTCCCGACCTGAAACGTCAGCTTTCCTGCTCCTCTGATGCTGCCTGATCTGCTCTGCTCCCCCAGCTGCACACTATGTTGTCTCTATATTGGTACATAAATACTTTTTTTAAAATTGTTTTTATCCAACCTGTCTTTTGACTGCTTTGTAGCAGAGCTGATGAGTACCAACTCCACTGACGGTTGTGGTTGTCAGCACTTCCATAGACTGTGAAGCCTATTTTCTGTTACTGCTTGCTTTCCAAAATACTAGCAGGGCTGCTCAGCATTCCTCAGCTTTGAAATAGAATAGTCATTGATCCTGTAGTCCAGGTTTTTGAAACTAATATTTATAATCTATCAAATAAGTGGCTTTAAAATGAGATTTCACTGCAGCAAAATTCAGTAAGGCTGTGGTGGTCAAATGCAAGAGGGATAAAGAAAGATGTCAAGATGCAATGTACGTAACACAAAAGTATCGACAGATTCTGAATGAATTTGAAATTAATTGCCACCTTAAGACTTCAAGATAAAAGATGTTTTATTGGGGAAACCCTACTTGCCTCGGGATGACTGCCCAAATAGTATTTTCACTCCTTTTGCGGGAAGAGATTGAACTTGATCAGTGGCTTCTGGTAAACCTTGAACTGTAATTTGTTCCTCTTGCAGCTTTGTGAAGAGCTCTTTGAAAAGATAAATGACAACAGTAATTCTGATGTGTCATATTCTGTGGAGGTAAGAACTGATGCAAAAGGTACATGTCACGGGGTATGACTCCTGGTTTAGAACCCAGCATTTTAGATCTGAGAAACCTGTGCTTGAGGTTTTTCCCCTGTTTCTTATTGCCTTGGAGTTGTTGTTTAGCCTGATCATGTTTCCTCTGTTCCTGGCCTGTACAATACCCTTTTTTCTTTTGTTGAAAGAAGTTTTTAAAAAATTACAACTGATTAAGACTTTATTCAACTGAATTAATCTGCTGTAAAATACAACAGATTTTTACAAACGATTAAGACTCAAAATTCTCCACCTCGGCGGGGGGGAGGAGTGGGGTGGAGGGAAAGACAAGAATTGGCACATTAAGGGGAGAGGAGAGAGATTTTAAAAAAGACATGAGAGGCACTTTTTTCTTACACAGAGTGGTTTGTGTGTGGAATGAACTTCCTGAGGAAGTGGTGAATATGGGCACAATTACAAATTTCAGAAAGACATTTGGTAAGTACATGAATAGGAAAGGTTTGGAGGGATTATGGGCCAGGAGCTGGTTGGTGGAACTGGTTTAGTTTAGGATTATGTTCGGCATGGACTAGTTGGACCGAAGGGTCCGTTTCCATGCTGTATGACTCCATTCGTCTATGACTTTATGGTACAAATAACATTTTCAAATATTTGTAGGATTTTTTACCCACAAATACATTTTATGTGGAGTTTTCCGACATGGAACTGATCTGCATTTTGCTTATGTGCATGAGATCTTTAAATTGGCCAAATTGCTCATTTGTGTATTTCTGTAGCAAGAAGCTAGTCACAAATCAAAACTCATCTTTATTCAGTAGTGTTCTCGGTCCTAAACCTGCCTGTTAATTAATGAAATATCACAATAAGACCATGAGTAATGAAACCAGAATCATCTGTTCATTGAGTTTGCCACCAGACTTTACACTGGAAATTTTGGATCTGACCTCAACCCAAGAGGAGATTAAAATGACATATGGCAAAGGTCTCGAATAAGCTGAATGCTCATAGTCTGACTTGCCTGTGTTAAAGATACTCTGAAATCCAAATTACATCTCTCATGTGTTATGAGTAGTGGATTATTTTTAACCTTGAAGTGATGTTGATGCTACATACCTGCAATTTATGAATTTTCATCATCGTCTAAAAATTAGCTTTCCAAAATAGTAATTCACTTACAAATGGAACATGAAGCAGTTTTTTTACACAATATGTTTGGAATTGTAGAGTCATTGATTAATCGATTTCCTTTTATATCACATCATTTCCATTCAATAATATTTGTAGTGCTTGAATCTAAAGTGGTTTTGAAGGCATTTCTGCCTTCCAAAACAGAGGTATGTACTTTTCTGGGATTTGCAAGAACCCAGAGTTTGAAATACGTAATTGATAGCAATTTTAATTATAATTATGCTCTTTGCCCCCTATTTAACACCTCCCTCCACTCCATTTTCCAAAAACAAAGATGAAATCAAGTGGTAGAACTATTAATTGCATTGTGTGCCTTTATTTGAAAACGTGCTACACAAATAGCAATCAGCAAATGCAAATAATTCTATAATTTAGACTATTTATGATAACTAAGTGGTGTAATTTTCAGGATGTTTTAAGCGGTGGAATACTCAGATACTTCAATGGAAAAGAGATTAAGTCTTTAATTCCAGCAATTGACTAGTGTATTAAACCAACTTGGGTGTCTGATTTAAGTCCTCGCCTGAATGTAATGTTTGACATTTTCTGTGCTATATTTGATTAGTGTTTATGTTAGCAAGACTGAACAAAAAGTTTCAAACTGCATGTCTGTAATGCAATATTAAAATGGGTATGCATTGTGACACGGTGGCACAGTGGTTAGCACTGCTGCCTCACAGCACCAGGGACCTGGGTTCGATTCCAGCCTCGGGTGACTGTCTGTGTGGAGTTTGCACATTCTCCCCGTGTCTGTGTGGGTTTTCTCCGGGTGCTCCGGTTTCCTCCCACCGTCCAAAGATGTGCAGGTTAGGTGGATTGGCCATGCTAAATTGCCCATAGTGTTCAGGGAGGTAGAGGGTGTATATTAGGTGGGTCATAGGGGGATGGATCTGGGTGGGATGCTTTGAGGTTCAGTGTGGACTTGTTGGGCCGAAGGGCCTGTTTCCACACTGTATGGATTCTAAAAAACAATATGCTTTGCTGAAACATTGTTCCTTTCTTTTCATTTATACTCAAAAGATAATACTGGCTTCACATTGACACACTTTCTCATATTTCTGTGTTGCTAGCTCTTGTTGAAACCTAATCATATTTTCCTGGTTGTTGGATGCAGGTCAGTTACATGGAAATTTATTGTGAAAGGGTTCGAGATCTGCTAAATCCCAAGACCAAAGGAAATCTCCGTGTCAGAGAGCACCCACTGCTGGGACCCTACGTAGAAGATCTTTCCAAGTTGGCTGTAACGTCTTATACAGACATTGCAGATCTCATGGATGCAGGGAACAAAGCCAGGTTGGATATCATGTGCTGAATCAGATTCTGATTGATTTGTGCACTTGGTACCTTTGCCATTCCCTTTTTAAAAACTCCCAAGTTACAGCTTTGTAGCTGAGCTCTTCCGTTCTGGATATTGAATTTATTATTGTCTCGTGTTTTGCCTAAACCCTCATTATCTGGCAATATTCACCCTGAGCCTTTTTTTTTTTTTTGTTTACTTGGTGGTTATTTTTCTCAGTGGTTTAGCAGTACCGACCACACTCGGGGGCTAGAGAAAGAGGCAGGTTCCAAGTCTAAGTGAGACTGAGAACCATGCGCATTCACCATAGAGCCAACTAAGATTAATAATTTTTTGGATATTGAAGATATCATGGGGTATTGATGGATACAGGGTAGGAAAATGGATTGAGATAGCAGGTCGGCCACGGTCCATTTTGATCATCCTCAAGGAACTGACTGGCCGGTGTTCCTAACTAAGCCAACCACCCCATTGAATTTAAAAAGCCAAACGTACTGTTATGATAAAAATTATCTCATTGCTTTGTCATGACAATCAGGGCAGGGCTGCTGCTTCAGCATTTGTTGAAACTTGAGACCAAAATAATAATTTGTATTGAGATTTGTATCAATATTTCCTAATTTTGGTTTATTCATAATTTAGCTACTCATTGATTTTGAGCATATACGCTTCATTAGTTTCATGCTACATAGAATACATCAAAGTGAGAGGCTGTTGCCAAATATCATCTGCAGTTCTTTGGGCTGTGCCCCTCAAATGCTCATGGGAATCAAGATTTTTTGTGTAAATGTTTCTCTGGTTAGAGTACCCAGACTTTATTTTACAAATGCACTGGTAATTTAATCTTCTGCAATCTAGTATTAAGGTTATCAGTTAACTCAATTATTGTTCAATAGTCAATGCAATGTCAGTGTAAAGGGCAGCAGAGTACATGGAAAATGGGACAGGAGGAAATGAGTAGGAATTAAGCGAAAAGCAATATATTCGTTCAAGGAATAAATAAACCAGCTGTCATGTTCTACATATTGGGGATGTTATTGGAGGAAGCAAATTTCATGTCCTGTGTATTATGCAGTATAAATAATGGGCAAAGGATTATTTTTGGCACTGAATTTGAGCTGTAAAACATAATCATGTTTTTAATTTCAGAACTGTGGCAGCTACTAATATGAATGAGACCAGCAGCAGGTCCCATGCCGTTTTCACCATAGTTTTTACCCAGAAGAAACATGACGTGGAAACAGATCTTTGCACAGAGAAGGTATAAAGCTGGCAATTAATTCTGAAGAAGGAACACTTCACTTTAAACAAAGCAGAAATTGCTGTGAAAACTCAGCAGGTCTTGGGGCATTTGTGGAGGGAGAAACATGGTTAATGTTCTCGTCCAAAATGACTTTTATTTTCGGGAGAAGAAATACTTTGGACTCGACGTTATCCTTGTTTCTGTCTCCTCCAAGTGCAGCTAGCCTTACTGAGTTTCTCCCGTAATTTCTGATTTAATTGCAATTTCCAGCATCCTCAGTATTTTGCTTTTGTTTTAGTGCTTGAACTTTTCACTGTTTTTTGTTCACAGTTTATTTCCATTTGCCAAAATTACTGGAGAAACTCAGCAGGTGTGGCAGCACCGTGGAGAGAAAAATCGAGTTAATGTTTCAAGCCCAGTGACCTTTCATCAGTGTATACTTCAGTTCTGACAAAGGCTCACTGGACCTGAAGCGTTAACTCTATTTTTCTCTCCATGGTGCTGCCACACCTGAGTTTCTTCAGCACTTTGTGTCTGTTTCAGATTTCCAACATCTGCAGTTCTGACTTTTATTTCCACTTGCTATTGTTTCTGATTCCAGTGTGAATTGCTTTTTTGGTTCCATTTAATAATTGACAATTTATCTCTCAAAATACCTTTTGACTTTCCATTTGTTCCCCGCCAACTAAGAAGCAAAATTCCAACACTTCAATTAGTAAATTGGATCTCCGTAAAGTTGCTGCTTCATTTGCTAAATGGATTTTTTGTTAGGGATTTTCTAATCCATTAGGACATGTGTAAATGACATTCTCAAGTTTTTTTGCTTAGTTAATGATAAATGTCCTGAGCATTATGGATTTTTTTTTCACCTGCCCCTTCATGAGCTTTTGTCAAGTGGGTAGCATTCTGAGTCTGAAGTCTCTGGGTTCAAGTCTCATTCAAGACAGTTGAACCTAGAAAATCCAGCATGATGCTCTAGTGCAGCACCGAGGGGTTGCTGCATTGTTAGAGGTTCAATCTTTTTGAATACGATGGTAAGCCGAGGTCCCGTTTACCTGCTTGGATAGACGTAAAAAATCTCCCAGCTGAAATTGTGAAGAGGAGCATGGGATTTGTTCCTGATGTCCCAGCCAATGTTTATCCCTCCATCAATGCCAGGAAAACAGATTATCTATACTGTTATTCTGTTGAGTTCTGTGGAACTTCGCTGTGCGCAAATTAGCTACTGTGTTTGCTGCAGCATTGATCATTATGTAGTTTGTGAGGGGTTTGCTCAGGAACACCTAGAAAATTCTCCCTCATCTCTGTGGGGATATCAAAATTTTTTAACTCAACTTGAGTGAATAAACCAAAATTCACCCTACTCTGGTCATCTTGGGAATAAATCCAAACAAATGACCATAAGGTGTAGGAGCAGAAGTGGGTCATTCAGCCCATTGAGTCTGCTCTACTATTAAATGAGATCGTGGCTGATCTAATAATCTGCAGTCCCACTTTTACTGTATTCAAAACTGTGGCAGCTACTAATATGAATGAGACCAGCAGCAGGTCCCATGCCGTTTTCACCATAGTTTTTACCTCAGCCTTGCATATACTTAACAACCCAGCTTTGAAAGCCTACTCTGATAAAGAATTCCACAGATTTATCACCTTCAGAAGAAAATCCTCCTCATCTCTGTCTTAAATGTGTAACCTCTTATTGTGAGGTTATGGCCTCTGGTCATAGATTGTCCCACAAAGGGAAACAATCACTCCACATTTAACCTGTCAAGTGTCCTAAGAATCTTTGTATGTTTCGATAAGGTCACCTCATTCTTCTAAATTCCAATGAATACATACCCAATGTACTCAACCTCTCCTCCTTTTACAGCCCCTCCCTTCCAGAAGGGCCTGTACTGTGCTGTACTGTTCTATGTTCCTGTTAACAGCCAAGTGAACATTTTCTGGACTGCCTCCAACGTGTTCCAACTATGGTCTGACTAATGCCTTGTATAGCTCTGACAAAACCTGTCTACATCTATACTCCATTCCCTTTTGAAACAAAGGCCAACATTTCTTTTGTCCTCCTGTTACCTGCTGAATTGAATGTTAGCTTTTTGTGATTCGTGGATAAGAACTCGCAAATCCCTCTGTCCTGTATCTTTTTCCATTGAAATGATATTCACCTTCTCTATTCCTGCCAAAGTACATAACCTGACTTTTCCCCACATTATATTCCGCCTTCCCTCCTTCATCCCTCTATTCGTCAGCAAGTGCAGCTAGCATCTCTTGCTGCTTTGACTTGAAATAGAAACTGATTTATTTTTTTTGCAGTGCAAGGCCGGGTGGTTAATTTTGAAAGTAAAAGGAGATCTGATGGATGTTCACATTCCCTCCTTGATTAGGTGAGCAAAATCAGCCTCGTTGATCTGGCTGGTAGTGAACGAGCTGACTCCACTGGGGCTAAAGGAACAAGGTTAAAGGTAACAAAGAATGGCAACTATCTTGCTGACATTTCTTTATTTCTGCTAATTGAATACAGTGAATATTTTATGAAGTCTCTGATAATACACTTGATGTGAATGGTGCATGTCAGCCGGTGACAATTTTCCTGTTCAAACTGTCAAGCTTTTGTGTGTTTTTGTTTTGGAGATGCATTAATAGGGTCTGAAATGTAGCAGAGTGTTATAAATAATGAACTTTTGTGGAAACCTTATTAGTGGGCCCATCAAGGTCAAGAAAACCTTTTGAGGGGAGGGGGGGAGAATCAAAGCACCTTGAACTTTGCAAAAAGAATGCGGTGCAGGTTTAATTTTTGTCACAAATTCAATATATTAACCTAAAACACATTGAGTTAATGGCTTCTTCACTTTCAGGAAGGAGCGAATATCAACAAATCACTTACAACGTTAGGAAAAGTTATCTCTGCTCTTGCAGAAGTGGTGAGTTCTTGTTTGTTTATCTACATTATCTCAACTTTGTAATAACAGATTTTTAAGGTGGTTTTCTATAACTTTCTGTCTTTTTAAATTATGCTGCCATTGCAGGATAATGCTCCCAGTAAGGTAATGCCAGGATATTATTATATTATGTATTCCTCTTATACTTTGTTTTATATATGTGACAACAAAAAAAATCAAAGAATCTCTTGCAAGCTCTGTGTTGCATAGCCAGTTTCCTTCACTAATGTACATTGTTTGCTTGTGCCTAACACAAAGCAAAGTTAGAAACGTCACATATATAATTAGTGAAACTAATTTGTCTGTGTTTTAAAATTGCTGAGGAAATGTTCCTTAATGGTGTAACAATCTGTCTATTTTTGGTTCTGAGTTACTAAAGCAATATTTAAACTACATTATTACACCCATTTGGCCATCTAGAACTGTCTGCACATGTAGCTGGCAAAACAACCTATCGACTAAAGGTTTGCTGTTCACTGGAAACGAATTTGAGATAGTTCAGGAATGTGGTTTAAGTATTGAGTTGGAACTGTACACTTTTGTATTTATTTTCAGTACTTGGCTAATATTGAAGCTTTCTTCAAGTTGTCTTTCGTCATGGCTAAAGACTTTTGCAAGTGATCTTTCATCTGTTTATTCATTATCATTTTATTCTTCATGTCCTGCAATGAAATTTAACTTGTTTCAGTTGCTGTAAAATAATAGCCCTGTGAAGCTGCTGATACCAGCCCCCACCCTCCCCAGTTTTCTCTGAAATAGTCCTTTGTAGCTGTGGTGAAAACACATCGCTGGATAGCTCAGGGCTTTGGAAGTTGCTGAAATGAAAGTTGCACAGGTTGAGGGCTGACTGACATTTTAAGGAATTGCTGTCATGCTTTTTACTTTTGTCATTGCTACACTTTTTTGAGTTCCTGATTTGCTCGTGACATTTGGAAACTAGTTGAGTGATAGAAGCACAGTTGCTTCCCGTATCAAAAATGCGGAGCTTTCTGAGACCCAGTCTCTGTGATGGTATCCATGAAACTATTGCTGTGCAAAAAAATCCTAATGTCCTTTAAAGGAAGGAAATTCCTCCTTCTGGCCAACATGTGACTCCAGGTCCACAGCAGTCAGGTTGACTGTTGACTACCATCTGAAATGGTCCTAACAAGCCCCTCAGTTCATGAGCAATCAATAACCTTATTCTGGTGTTGCCATTAATCCCCACATCCCATGAATGAATAAATAATAGAAAGGTAGCTGTGTTTGGAAAACAGATTATTTTCAAGATTAACTCAACCATCTGTTTGCATCTTGGCAGTTCAGAGTTCTCATCTGATCCTTCCACTGTGTTTAGGAAACATTTGAATCTCTATTTACCTATTGCCACGCTCTCCTTCTTCTGTGTGATGTCAAGACAGCTTCACCTGAACTTCCTACATTAATGTCACAGCAGTCACAAAACCCTTTACTTGAATTTGGTCAGAGGTTTCCAATTGTAAAGGCCTGACCTGGATTATTGTATTTTGAGTCAGTCATGAGGCTAACATAGGCAGGAGTGAAGCGACCATAGGTCAGAAATATCAAATGAATCTGCCCAAAGATGGGGATACCATTTACTAGCTAACAAATCTAACTTGGTTAACGTTGGAAAGTTGCTTGTGTTTGATAGTGACTAGATAGTGAGTACAAGTTTGCATTGATCCTTCTTCAGTAGGGAAATGAAAGGTTATGGCAAAGGGCAGGAAAGTGGTTGTGAAGAGTTAGATGAGCTATGATCCTATTGAATAGTGGAGCAGGCTCAAGGCGCTGAATGGCCTTCTCCTGTTCCTATTTCTTACTGTCTTATCTCTGGCTATGGATAGTGAGTACAATTTTGTACTAATGCTTGAGGCCATACTTAAATTGAGAATTTTACCACTTTTGATGGAGAATGGAAGTGCCTTAATTTTGGCCTAAGTTGACTATTAGCCAGCCCTGTATCGTGGATTCTGCTTTAGAGCTGTCTCTATTTCTGATGTTACTGACAATATTTGAAAATGAATTGAAATGAACAGAATTCCAGCTTTAGGCAGGTGGGGGTGGGTGACATCTGGGTTTTAACTTTTTAATATTGATATTTTTTTAAACCTTTTGTTGAACAGAGCAAGAAGAAAAAGAAGTCTGACTTCATTCCCTACAGAGACTCTGTATTGACCTGGCTTCTGAGGGAGAATCTCGGTAAGGTGACTCTCGGTGAAGCTTTAGTCCAATAGTCTTGTTACTCTGGATAGTGGTGTATGGGTATAAAATGAAATGGAATGAAATTTTACAAAACTAAGTCATGCATACACAACAGACTAAGAATTTGTGCTTCTTTGTTTTATCATCACAATCGTAGAATCCCTATAGTGTGGAAGCAGACCATTTGGCCCATCAAACATCACGCCTAGACCCACCCCATCCTCTACCCTATCCCTGTAACCCTGCATTTCCCATGGCTATTCCACCTAGACTGCATATCCTGTACACTATGGGCAATTTAGTATGGCTATTGCACCTGGACCTGCACATCTTTGGATTGTCGGAGGAAAACCACACAGACACAGGGAGAATGTGCAAACTCCACACAGTCAGTCACCCGAGGGCGGAATTGAACCCGGGTCCTTGGTGCTGTCAGGCAGCATTGCTAACCACTGAGCCACTGTGCCACCCTTAGTTAGAAAGCATTGAGTTTGTGTGCTAGCATAAAGAGAGAAATTAGATTTGCATTCCAGTGTATTGTGATTTGTTTCTCGTTTAGCAGACTCTTAATCACTCAGTGACCTGTGCTGTTAACGTTACTGATTTTAAGTGTGGGTTTTTATAGATGTTTGATTGTGGCTTGTTTCTCTCAGGTGGAAACTCACGTACTGCAATGGTTGCTGCTCTTAGTCCAGCTGACATAAACTATGATGAAACTCTCAGCACTTTAAGGTATATCTGTTTTTAACATCTGGTATTTATTCCATGCTCTACATTTAGCAGGCTGTATTTGTGGTGACTCTGCTACAAATGAATTCATTCCGCTCTCTACAGGAACAGGTTTGAATTCTTCAGAAACCAAACTTGCTGAAAGCAATCTTTTAGCAGATAGCACTTCTGTCTTGATGCTTAAATTAATTAATACAAACTTTGGCTTTTAAAAATTGAAATGCAATCCTACTCTAAATTTTCAGAATTTAGCAATAAGATGTTTTCATGCAGTGCTGATACAATTTCAGCGTGTCCATTTTGAGCTCCCTTCCACTCTGTATCCTCTGCAAAATGCACTGCAATACTTGGGCTCCTTTGATGCCACCTTCCTAACATGTGACCACTACCACCAAGAAGGACAGGGCAGTGGATATATGGGAGCACCACCAAGTTTCCTCTAAGAGACACACCATCCTGACTTGAAACTATATTGCCATTCCTTCACTGACACTGGATCAAACACCCAAAATGCATTCCCTAGCAGCAGCACTATGATAGTATCTTCACTATTCAGGCTATGCTGGTTCAACGAGGCCACACACTAACATTTCCTTCCCCTTAAGGACATTTAGAGATGGACAATAAGTGCTGGCTTGCCTGTGATGATGACGTGAATAAAACTTTATTAAAGCTGTTCCAGGTTTTGCTTTACTCTAGCCTTGCAATTTGAAGTATTGATATATGCTGTAGCTTCAGCCACAGAATTAATTGTCATAAATCTTTCACCACTTATCCATTCATGTTCACCGCATAATTTTTCTGCGTTTGGAAAGGATTTGATGAAACTCATAGGTTGGTCAAGGGCATGACGGTTGGCAAATCTTAACACTATTTACATTGTTTTCATTTAATGTTCTCGTTCTGGTGTAATTGTTTATATTATTGGTATTTTTATCCTTTAGGTATGCAGATCGTGCAAAGCAGATTAAGTGCAATGCAGTGATTAATGAAGATCCGAATGCAAAACTGATCAGAGAACTGAAGGACGAAGTCACAAGATTGAAGGACTTGCTGTGTTCTCAGGGTCTGGGAGATATCTTAGACAGTAAGTGGATTAACACTATGTATAAGCTTTTAAGGAGTCATCATAATTTAAGAGCATCTGCTGCTCTGGGCATGAGGATTGTTTTGGGCACTGAAACACTCGTTATAATCCAGAGGGAAAAAGAAAGTTTATTCAAATAGTACATTCTTCACCACTAGGTTGTCTTTAAATCTCAATGTTAGTACAGGAATTCTTTCAGAATTCGCTATGTAGGATCTAAAGGATAATCCATTTGTAATCTTCTATTTTCTTTTCTGTATGTGTGTATGGCTGACAATGAGAGTTAAATGAGGTCACATGTAATCCTAAGTGATAACAACACTGATCAGATTTAATCTAACCCTTAAATTTTTTTTAAACAGTCGCAGGAAATAATTTTTCATTTTCACCTTCGCGTAGTAACAAAAGTGCAATTCAAACATTTCTTTAACTTTTTTTTTGTCTGCTTAGCATAAATCTTGTCACTAACATTCTGTCATCATCATCTGGAAAGAATTGTAACTGCAAATGCTTTAGGGCATATATTCAAAGTTAAAATCTTCAAGTTCATTTTTGAGTACTCACCACTTCCAGTTTTGATGTAGATCTCGCAGGGAGAGGTAACCATGTAACATGACCATAAAGTTCTTCCTTCTAAAATCAGCATGGTTACTTTGGATACGGGCTTTTCTAAACAAATTGAGCTATGCAGTAACTCGATTGGCAAAAATTAGATTAAATCCACTCATTACTGAGCAGAACATCGTAGTATGAACCTGCTTCCCTTTTGTTGAATACCCATCAGTGATTCTGTATGGTACGTTGCTGTAATAAATGGAGGCATGTTTCACTGCAGTTTTATTAAGGGACCTACTGGAAATAAATTTGATGTCATAGAGCTTAGGTGTATGTCCTAAAATCGTAAAGAGGCATTTTGACCCGTTGAGTCTGAACCAACAGAAAGCTGCTCTAAATCTACACTAATTCCACTTTTCAGCACTTCGTCCATAGTTGTGGATGTTATGATATTTCAAGTGCTCATCAAATTACTTTTTCAAAGTTGCCTTTCAACTACCTTCCCAGGCAGTGCATTCCAGATTCCCAACACACTCTGGGTGGAAACATTTTCCTTAAATCTCCTGTAAACCTCTTAGCTTTCACCTTAAATTTATGCTCCCTTGCTATTGACCCTTCATCTAAGGGAATAGCTATTGTCTATCCACCCTGTCCCTGAACGGAACCCCACCCTGATTTCCAGGTTGAGAATTCTCAATGTCCAGCTTGTTTGGCACATTTGGTAAGCAAGGAAGTTGTCTTTGTAGACAAGAAAGTGCGGATGATATCAAATACATTGTTCATGAGTTTAAAGATTCCTGCATGTATTCATTCACTGCTTGTATTTAATTTGGTTATTTTAACATCAGAAAGTAATTATGTGGCATACTTTCTCCATTATATGCACCTGCTTTAGCAATTTAAAAAAAAGTTGCTGCCCACACTTCGTTTTTCAGTAAACCCATGAGCAATCAAATGACATTGTGCAGCCTCGACCAGTCAGCCTATTATTTTCAAACTGGGAATGGGGACAAATCAAATGCCCTGCGAGGATGGCCAGTGTATGACCTCTGTGGGTATTTTATTTCACTTGCTCCAAGACAACAACTCTTGCTTCCCATGTATAGTCAATAAGAGGGAATTGGTGCGGCACCAAGGTAGTGTCCCTATCTCTGAACCAGAAAGCCTGGGTTCTGACCTGTTCCAGAGGCGTGTCATAACACATCTGAACAGGGTGATTAAAATGAGCTATCTTCAATAAGGCTCTAACTATGAGCAATATCAGCAATTATAAAGAGCCAGCTCAAAGCAGGTGGTGTTAGAATGGGCACAGTCTGTGATGCTTGGGGGGACATTCAGCAGTATGGGAAAAGGATGTGCTGACTCAAAAGCATTTCAGTGGCACTTGATTTTTAATGCAGCCTTTAAGGCTTCATGGCAGGTTGTTGTGAAGTCCAGGAAAACCAACTGCTTAGTGAACAGTTAGCGAAATTAAATCCCTAACCAAACTAACACTGAAAACCTCTGTGTGTGCAAATCTGAGTGCAAGGTGGGGCTATATAGCTGCAGCTTGATCATCGTATAGTGAAGGTAGATTCAATCATGGCTTTCAAATGGAATTGAATGATTAACTGCAGAGACAAACAAATTGTGGAGCCATAAGGATAAGGTGGGCTGATTATCCACTTCAATATCTTTCCTCTCATAGTATTGCAATGCCACTTTGCATCATTGGTGTTTAGAAATTTGTCAATCTCTACTTAACATACTCCATGACTGAGTTTGTATATAGCCCTCTGGAGTAGAGGTTTCCAAAAATTTACAATCCAGTGAGTAAAAACAAAATTCTCCTCCTTTTTGTCCCTAAGTGGCTTCCCACTTATTTTGAAGCTATGACCCTTGGTTTAGACTTCCCAACCTGTGAGGAAACATCTTCCCTCAGTCCACCCTTTTAAGTAATTTGTCAGTTTCAAAGAGATTACCCTTAATTCTTTGGGACTCTAGAGAATACAGGTCCAGGTACCTTTTACTGTACTCCCAGGTGTGGTCTAACCAAGTTTCTGTGCAATTGAAGCAAAGCTTTGCTATGCCAGCACTTCAGTCCACTTGTGATAAAAGCCATCAAACCCTTAACCTTCCTCATTAATGACTTGTAACTTTGCTTATGAATTTTTAACACTGGCACTAAAGAACTATCCATTGAATCCTATGCACAAATCGCCCTGGTTTCTCCTTTGTGTAATATAGTTTGAGAGTATAGGAATTTGAACAGAAAGATACCTCTAATCTAAAGATTCCTTAAAGATGTTTTTGTTTAAGATTGTGTGATGGTAGGGAAGTTTGAAGTGTTGAAAGAGCTGAATGCTAATTTCCTGCATACGCTTACTAATGCATGCATATTCCATATCATAAATCTAAGGCCTGAGTATCCCCTTTATCAAGGAAGTGTCTCTAATATGTTAGTGTAAATCTAATGTCATTTAAAGGGGTGAAAATCTAAAAGACCTGTATGAATCACACCGTGGTCCATGTAATATTTCTTGGAAGTTTTTTTGGAATCTTGGAAGATTTTTAATGATTTTTTTTATTGGGCTAGATCTGTAGAACTCCAGAATTTTTATGGGATGTTGAACCATTTAAATTTTGGTGAAATGTTTTGCAAGTCTGATATGCAACTGGAAACAAGTATGTCCGAGTTTTCAGAATGACCTTTGACCCTTCTTGTTCTCCTCCTGCATCCCTCCAGTTGAACCAATGACTGATGATTACTCTGGAAGTGGAATCAAATGTGTGTATACGTGTGTTGGTACTTTCTCATTCTCCTGCCAAAGAGAACTCTTCTGCTTTTAAATTGCTTTTGCTTCAGTCCAGACTTTGCATGAACAGATCAGTGGTGTCGCTTGTGGGGGTATCGCAGATAGGTTTTTGGAGAGTGTCTGTGCTGCGTTCTGTGCAAATATGTAAATGGGTAGGCTGGGAATGTGTTCTAACATGTGCTCTTGCAAGCTTGCTTTTCTGTGTGTGTTTGTGGAAATGAGTGTATGCATCTGCTCTGGATATTAGGTTGCTTTGTTCACTTTTGGGGGAAGCACCTTCACAGCTTCCGACTGCAGCCCCAACATCTCACTTCAGATTTCGTTTTTAGACGTTCTTTCTGCAGTTCACACAATTCACTTTTTGGGTTGAGAAAAGAATGGCATCACATCACACTATGATCTTTTTTGACTGTACTCTGTGCATCATTTGAAAATGTTGATTTTATCTTCTTTAAAATAATATAAATCAGTCACAACTGCAAGACCCGAAATGTATGTTGTTATAATTGTTCACAAACAGAGCCCTGCTTGTTGCTGAGGATGGAGCACTTGATATGTGCCAAATAATAGGTGTCCACTTGTAAATGTCTTCATTCTTCCTCAGTGGAGCTCCAATTTCAAATTGCTTAGCATATGACAGTGATGCCTATGTTTCTGTTGTTGAGATTGGTGGAACTGGTGTTCTTGAAAGATATTGTACATACAAATTTTTATTTATCTACTGATGGGCTGGGGACATCACTGGCTAGGTCAGGCTTTATTGCCCATCTCTAATTGTCCAGAGGGCTGTTAAGAGGCAACCACATTGCTGTGGATCTGGAGTCTTGGGGCGGCATCGTGGCTCAGTGGTTAGCACTGCTGCCTCACAGCGCAAGGGGCTCAGGTTCAATTTCACCCTCGGGCAACTGTCTGTGTGGAGTTTCCATGTTCTCCTCGTGTCTGCATGGGTTTCCTGTGGGTGCTCTGGTTTTCTCCCACAGTCCATAGATGTGTAGACTAGGTGGATTGGCCATGCTAAATTGCCCATAGTGTTCAGGGATGTGTAGATTAGGGGAGTAGGTCTGGGTGGGATGCTCTGAGTGTCGGTGTGGACTTGTTGGGCCGAAGAGCCTGTTTCCACACTGTAGAGATTCTGTGATGATCTATGATCACATGTAGGCCAGACAAGGTAAGGATGGCAGTTTCCTTCCCTAATGGACATCAGTGAAGCAGATGGGTTTTTCTGACAATCGACAATGGTATTATGGTTATTATTTTTCTCTTTAACTTGATATTTTTATGAATTCAAATCCCTGCATCTGCTGTGGCAGGATTCAAACCTGGGTCCCCAGAACATTATCTGGGTCTCTGGATTAACATTCCAGTGATAATACCACTAGGCCATCGCTTGCACATCAAATTGAGGGAGAGGGAGGGTGCCAGACAAAGCTAGTTTTACAAGAATAAATCCATGACTAAGGCAATAATAATGATCTGAACTTAATTTCTCTACCAGTGGCTATGTTGGTCTTTTTGGAGGCCATTTTTCAAACTTAGCTCAAACAACACGCAAATAAGCATTTCCCATGTTTGTGAACATTGTAGGGTGATGTGATGCCAAAGTTCTGTTGGTCTACTTGTCTATTTTAATCCAATGTGTTTGCAGTTTTGAACACACAATATTTCTGTAAGCTTTGAGCACAAGAGAGGTCTCTGTGTATATGCACGTGTAATGTCATCTGCATTAGCCAACTGCTTCGCCAATCACTTTATCAGACAGTAATATGACCAGATCTGTTAACTTTTTACATTGTTGGTGCTACACTGATGGTGGTTTTAAAGTCTTACAGGGGCTCTGTAGAATAACCAAATAAAAGCACTATGCATCTTTGAGTTTATCTTCTGTGGACATGACAATATGAGTGGTCAGGTATTATGGGCAGCACCTTGTTCGATTCACCTCTGCATATTCAATGAACAGAATCTGATAAATTGAATATGCAGGTTCATGAATCATAGTAAAATTAATTCAGATGTATGCTTTTTATATATTCGTAATAGAATACTTGTAAATTCCTCGTGTGACATTACATTAGAATAACTTTGTGGACATGAAAGAAACTATTAAATGAGCTATTCTTTTTATAAAATCTTTTATTATGAAATCGCTCACCAGCAAATGGAAAAATGTCAGAAAATTTAATTCAAATGAAGCATCACAAAGGATGATGATTGAGTTAAAAGTTTAGAAATTTGAACAGTATTGTATTTAAATGTTATGAATTTATATACTTTAATACATCCTGTACGCAGTTTGTTTCTGTCGTGTACCTCCAAAGTTGTTATAGTTAAAAATTGCACAAGGACTTTACCATTTTTGTATTTACCACGTATCCATGGACCTTGTTTGTTCTGTTTATCGTAAAGCTGATCAGAATCAGAATGCACTGTTTTAGAACTACCATCGAGTGTATATGCCCATTCCATAACCCTGTCTTGTGGATCTTATGTCTTTCCTTTCCTCTTTTCTCCTTATTTTTTCTCTTCCACTTCCTTTTCCCTTGGTCTGCTGCTCCTCTTACTCAGACTTGAAAGAGATACAGAACAGTAAACATAAGTACAAACTAGCTTCAGGAAATCAAAGGCCTGGCCATTTCTCCACAGCACCCGTGGGTACACTGACTGCTTCCCCTTCCTCGTCTTCGCTGAGCAGCCAGGCAGGCATTCAGTCAGTGACCAGCCTGCAAGAGAGAATAATGTCAACTCCAGGTGGTGAAGAGGCCATTGAACGCTTAAAGGTAAGTGCTTAATTAACAATTCTTGCATTTTCGTCATGATATTTAGAATCACAATACTTCCGCAATTACATCCAGCCCTAGAATGTCAGTATTTAAAAGAGCATCTTGTGTGTTGAATTTTCAGTTTGGATACAAAAGACATAATGCAATTTTAATGTGCGACTCCTCAATGTTTTAACACTTCTCACTTTTGAACAGTTCATGGTGCAGGCTATTTGGTCCCACAATCTGTCCATACCAGTCAGTAAGACTGACTGACCAACAACCTCACCGTCGTCTTCTCGTTTATTAAAAATGTACCATATATGTTCCCCTTTATCTTGAAAGCACTTCTTTACCTGCTGAATTCCAGGTTTGGTTTGGTTTGATTTATTGTCATGTGTATTTTGTACAAATATAGTGTTGTTTAGTGTCACCACTATGTAGCACCATCTTAAAACGCAGAGAATAAACCAAAGCACAGAATATAAAGCCAGAAAAATGAAACAATAAGGTTCGTCTTCTAGTCTTATTTCAATAAGGTTAAGTGGTGTTTGAAACAGCTCCCGCTTCTGGCTCAGCTATGGGCTTGGATCCATGCTCCTCCATCCTGATGCCTTGAGTCCCTGCTGCTAAACTAAGGACAGTGCTGCAACCACACTTTGCCACTCTGCCGCCGCTGGAACTAGAGTTACCACTCTGCCATCTCACCTCCTCCAACTCTACCAGCACCATGAGTTCACGCTGGGCCAACCTCTCCAATGCCGCAGGGTCCTGAAGTGGGACCAAAATCGTCAAGCACCCAGGCCTAGCCACGGACCTAGAGCCTCAGCTTGGCCTGCGTGTCTGGACCAGGGGATTAAGCCTGGGACTTGCTGCTCGCTCGCCGGGAGACCTTGGGCTTGGCTGGAACTGTGTCTGCCTTGTCCTGGCATTGCTGCCGTCACTTCCAGAGCCTTCTCCTTCGTCATTTGTTGGGCCTTGCCGCTATCTTCATCCACCATTGCACACAGGGCCCACTCTCTCACTGATGCCGAATACAACCCCACCTTGTGCAATCTCATCTCTTAACTTATCCCTTGGAGTCCACTTATCGCTCTCCAGGAAATCTACACTGCATTGTCCACATAGCCACTATGTCCTTCTAATTCTCAGAATATTTATATTTGGTCTAACCAAGACTTTGGATGGTAACACTTTTTTTTTTTCATGTTATTGGTGTATCATTTTACATTCTGATTACTGTTGTCGAGTTTCATTATTGGGTATAAAAATGTTTTTCTTAGTCATTGGGTTACCTGCAGGAAACCTGGGGCATGGGGCAGTTGGGGTGACTTGTTGTGTCAAGGCTTTGGGATCCTGGAACAAACTTGTAATGATGTCATGATGGTGGCTTCTCACTTGGTGTAAAAATTACCTGGTGTGGGCAGAGCAAAGAGGGGAAGAGAGAAATGCACTCAGGGCTAGAAGAGGCCTGGAGTCTGGCATGTGAGTGTTGGAAAGCAGGACAAAAGCATATGGCATAGACCAACTAGCATTTGGTATGGAATTCATAGAATAGCCTTTCAATAATATAACTAAGGTTAGAACCTGGTACATCTCTGAATACCATTTTATAATATTTCATCTTGATATGTCATAAACAGTGTTATAAAGAAGCATAAGGCTGAAGATAGTTCTTGGCTTTGCCTTCTCCATGACCAGTTTCTCTTGAAACCAAACTCCTGGATGTGAGCATAAAACCAAACATCAAAGAGTGATGTAATTGACCTCAGTAGATATTGCAGACTAGCTGGACTTTGGGCAGAGGGAGCATGTTGGTTTTTCCACCTGTACTCTGGGCAATTTGAGACAAGTTACCTGTTAAATATAATGAAGTAGCTCTTTTTATTTTTAGAATTAAACTAAATAATCTTCCTAAATTATTGAACTTAAAGTTTTGAGGTATTTTGATTAGCTTATGCCTCTAGGCTGTGTAAAAATATATATGTTAGAGATAATAGTCACAGATTATACAAGCAGAAAATAGAGTGTGCACTTGGGTTAGGCAGTATCTGTGAAGAGAAACAGTTAGTGTTTCAGGTTGATGACCTTTTCAGGCAATGCAAAGATATTTGATAACTTATTGAATATTGGTAAATATAAGGTGACTTGATTCATAGGATCAAAATCTCTACAGTCAATAAATGTGGAGCTGGAAAAGCACAGGAGGTCAGACAGCATCTGAGGAGCAGGGAAAGTCAAAGTTTCAGGTTGAAACCCATCATCATTAAAATCTCTACGGTATGGAAGTAGGCCATTCAGCCCATTGAGTACACACTGACCATCCGAACAGCATGCCACCCAGACTCCACCCAATCCCTGTATTCTTACATTTCCCATGGCTAAGCCACCTAGCCTGCACATCCCTGAATACTACAGGCAATTTAGTATGGCCAATCCACCCTAACCTGCACATCTTTGGACTGTGGGAGGAAACCAGAGCACCTGGAGAAAACCCACACAGACACAGGGAGAATGTGTGGAGTTTGCACAGTCATGTTGAACCAAATAAGATCCTGAGGGGTGGTCATGAGGTGCATGTGGAAAAGCTGTTTCCTCTTATGGGAGAATATAGAATTAGAGAACGCAGTTTCAAAAAAAGATTGGCCACTTAAGACTGAGATAATGAGAATTTCTATTTCCTAAAAGTTCTAAATCTTTAGAATTCTTTGCCTTAAAAAATGGCAGAAGCAGAGTCATCTAATATTTTTAGGTTAGAGTTGAATAAATTGTTGTTAAGCAAGGATGATAAAAGGTTATCAGGTGGGAATGTGTAATGATCAGATCAGCCATGAATTTATAGGATGGCAGAGCAGACTTGAGGGGCTGCATGACATATTCCTCTTCCTGATTTGTTTTTCCATGTGTGCAAATATATATATTTTTTAAAATTTTGGTGCTTAAGCTTCACACTTTTTTTGTGATTTAGAATTTGCAAGTCATACTGAATTAAATTTTTTGAGCTGCCAAGATAGGAAATATTTCCTGTGTAATTAAACCAGCAAAGTTTGCAGGCTGTCATTTTATCCAGAGGGGCTATGTTTGCCTATTGAATATAATTCAGTCCTTAATGAAGATTAGAGAAAATAAAGGATTCTAATTACCATTGCACAGTCAAATGCTGTTCCGTCCACTGAATGCAACATTTAAATTGCAAATTGACTGTGAGCAAAGTCCTTCAGGGAAGAGAGAAGGCTCCCCATACATCCCTCACTGTACTCAAGGTGCCTCATGTTAATATTGAAGAAGGTTTTACAGATGTTTGAAGCAAATCAAAGTGACATGAATGTTTAATATTTGGAATAATGTACCAAAATTGCTCAGCAGATTGGTGATCTGAAAATGAGAGTGATTAAATTTTTGAGGTGGAATGTAGATTGCTTTATGCCAGTGCCCATCAATACTGTAGATTCAGGATTTTGCCTTTGGACAGAGGTGAAGAACAAGGGCTAAATAATTCTCTTCAATGAGGGTGGATCATCTCTACTGTTCCCCAACAGTCACTTCAAATACAAATGTCTAGCTGAACTCACTTGGTGTGTTCACAAATGTAGAGTGGTAACTGGCTCGAGGTATATTTGAAGTTTAGGAAATCCTACAATAGAAATCAGACAGGGATTGTTATACTTCAAATCTGAATGACTTGACGAGGGACTACTTAACAAAAAGGAAACTGTAAAGGAAATGGTGCTGATATTTTTATTGACATTCCATTAATGTAAAGGCCTTGTAACTCTTAGTTACCTCTAATGGAAGAATATCTGAAGACATCACTGAGATTTCAAATAATAATGAATGGTCACATTGTGACCTTCCGATTTAGTTCTGGGAATGTGTATCTACTTGCCAAACAATGGTCACTCTCACATAGCAAAATCAGGAACAAGAGGACGCCATTCTGTTTCTCAAGGCCCCTCCACCGTTCAATTGAATCATGGCTGATTTCCTACCTTTAACACCCATTTTCCTGCATTATCCTCACATTGCTTGATATGTTTTAATATTTAAAATTCTTTCACACTCGGTGTTGATTCACTGAGCCTTCTTAGGCAGAGATTCCAAGGATTCATTAGTCACTGCATGAAAAATGTCTTTGCTGTTTCTGTCATAAATGGCTTATCACTTATTCTCAGACTGTGCCCCCACTCCTCCCCACTAATTTCATCACTAAAGTAAAAAGCATTTGGTTCAGGGAATAAGGAGAGTTGTGGTCCACTATGTTATGACCAGTGTGTGCTGATTTGGCCAATTTTTGTGCTGTTTCTGATAGATATGTGAAGCCAATTTTGTTGAAGAGAAACTCAGTAGGTTTGGCAGCATCTGTGGAGCAAGAAACTTAATGTTTCAAGTCTGGTATGAATCTTCTGAACAGGAGTCGTATCAGACTCAAAACAGTAACTCTTTCTTTCTCCACAGATGCTGTCAGACCTGCTGACATTTCCCAGCATTCACAGTATTTTGCGTTTATTTACTGAGGAGCAGGTCTGCTGCACTTGTGTGCATTAGTTGTGCCTGGAGGCACCAAGGGGCAACTAAGTAACACTCCTTTTAAAAATAAAATGACCACCAGTTACAAACAGCAATGGCAGCAGCTTTGGAATACGCACAACCTGCCTTGCCAGGATGTGACCAAATGACCTGAGCTGAGAGGGGCAAGGCAAGAGGGTAGTTTTTCCATGAAATAAATCATGGGTGAGGAAGTTTTCCCTTTCCTGGGACCGTAGTTCAAGTCCACTTCTTTCAGTAATGGCATTTCTCTCTGAATCAGCCCCACACAACATACTTAAATACGTAATCTAGGCTACCTCTTCAGTGCAGTAATGAATGCTGCATTGTTGAAGGTTCAGCCTTTTGGATGAGACACCAAATCTGTTTATTCTGACAATTAAAAGACCCTGTGATACCATTTCATGCAGATCAGGGCAGTTATCTTGATTAGCCTCATCAACATTTATCCTTTGGACAAATCCATCAAAAGGTGAATGGCTATTTCTCTTATTATCTTTAATGTGACCTATAACATACAAATTAGGTGACATGTTTGTCTGCATAGTGTTGACAGAAATCTAGTAATACAAGTAATTGGCATTTTAGGATGTCCTGAGGATGTGTAAATTTGTGTGTGCTTTTTAACTAACATTGTAAAATGTCTAATCTGCCCAGCCCTTATCTTTGTATCTTCTCGGTAGTGACGTATCTGTACATAGAACAGAGCTCACTGGAAGGAAATGGTATTATTTTTTATGAACATTAGAATGAAAGTCTTTTGGCCAGCTGTAAAATATTCCCGCTGGTACAAACCTTTTTAGAGGCTCCTAATCACAAATGTCGCACTGTTCTTGTCAAGTAGCCTTTCATGGTATCTTTGGACATGGTTTACTGCAGTATTATGACAGAAGAAAGAATGCAGTTGTTCATTTAGTTGAGGGATTTCTTCTACGTGTTGAAACGGATATCTTCTCTCCAATCTGTTCGTAAACCGACACCCCTCCCAAAAAAAAGTGATACATTTCAGAGCATGTAAGTGCTTTCCAAACCACATGAGAGAAGAAGCATTCTAATGATACTGCAGTTAATGCTGGTTACTACAGCAACTAGACTGAACATGCTCCTGCAGTCCCTTGATAATGAACCTGTCATGGCATGATGTCATTTCATTGGAAGATGCAAATAACATTTCAAGGCAGGTGTAAACTAAAATGAGAAGGGGACTATTGTGTGTTTGCAAATTGAAGTATCATACAACCGCATTGGGGAAAGAAAACAGTTAAGATTCAAAAATCTCATCTGGGCATTTTTTTTTTCAGCTGTTTATAATGGAGTAAATTTAAATTTCTCATGTTTATACAAGGCAAGTTAAATAATGAGTTCCTTATGCCCAATATACCAGCACAATTGGAAGTTAATAGAATTGTTTAAAGGCACAGGGTGGAAGGGAGAAGTTGAAATTCAATATTTCAGCTAGATTTTGTGTAACGCAAGATTTTGTGTGACAGGGTAAACACAGGAAGTCACTGTCTAAGGATGTAGGGTTGGCCGTTTAATACATCTGGGGAAAATGTCTTCATTCAGAGTGGCTGAGGCCAAAATCTTGTTTTCAAGAAGGAGTTGGATGCAGTTCTTGGGCTAAAGGGATCAAAGGATACAGGGAGAAAATGGGTGCAGAGTACTGAATTAGATGATCAGCCATTATCATAATGAATAGCCTATTCCAGCTTCTATTTTCTATGTTTGTGTTATGACTGCAGCAGAACCTATCATAAATACATAGTACGGTTGTCATTTTGAGCAAAACCATCAAGGAATGCCTTCCTGTGTCAAATCTTGATTCAGCTGATTGAGTTGTTGTGCTTTTCAGTTGATGGTAGTTTAAGTAGTGAATATTATCATCTTTCTTGGATAAATCTGAACTGTTTAACTGGTGGATGGGCTGCCACTCTTCAGATGGGAGCTCCTTCCTGGAGTGGTTCCAGTCATACCACAAAGTTTCTGCTCGTGTTCATTTCAAGATAAGAAGGAAAGACAGCTTTTGTCAATGGTATTGACAGTAAAGGACTGTAGCCAACAGGGATTGCCCCACTTTGAAACATTTTTATTCGGGAGATTCTAGATAGCAGCCCTTTGCAGGCTGATTGGCACTTATCTGTGTTTGTTAAAGCTCTCTCACTCCTTTTACCTTTTAACACTTTTCGTATCCCTACCAATCTGAAAGAAAAGCTTGCGTTATTGTGGCACGTTTCATGATCACCACATGTTTTAATACCACTTTACGACCAGTGAAAGTGCTTGACGCTAATTTTAAAATGTCTGAGGAAGTCATATATGATGTTTGTTCACAGATCAATTGCAATCCTATTGAATGGTGGAACAGACCCAAGGGCGTAACTGATTGTTTTCAGAGTAAATCTCATTATCCACTTCCTTGGGCAGCTCTTTATATATGTGCTTTTGTGTGTGTAGATTCCAAATTAACATTGTAATCAAAGGATACCCAACCATTTTTTTTTTGTTTTTTTGTTTTATTCCAGGGTAAAATGTAGGAAATTGCTAAGTGTTAAGAGATTGTCAAACTCAGAGTCAGCACCCACTTTCTGGTTTGTAGATATGCAACTGATGAGTATTCATTTTCAAAACCAAAATGTTGTGGGAGAGACTTCTGAATAAAGCAGACGGAAACATCTGGATGAAACTATGTCTTAAAAGTGTGAATCAACAAAATTTAACTTTCTAGAAGGAGATTCCTCCACTTTTTTTTTATTCTTCAGTGACTGATTAGGTAATGAAATCAATCATGAATTGGCAGTGTTCTCAATGCATTTTCCTCAGCTCCTAGTGTCCCCACCACTGGGTCTGGAGTTCAAGTCCCACCTGCCCGAGAAAGGTGTCATAATATGTCAGAATAGGTTGATTTTAAAATATCTAAATGTGTGTCTCTCTATTTGCAGGAATCGGAAAAGATCATTGCTGAGCTGAATGAGACATGGGAGGAGAAGCTGAGGAAAACTGAAGCAATTCGAATGGAGAGGTCAGAGCTTCCCTTCTTTCAAAACCTCTATTTCAAAGCTGCAGAATTTCAGACCTCCATATTCTGTACAAATTTACAAGTGCATTTTTTTTCATACAAGTCACACCTCACGCTCTGCAGAGTATAGCTTGACTTCACTAACATGCCCTGTGCAAGGAATTTCATTCATTTTTAGTCATAATTTTTGACTAAGACATGGACCCATTTATCTTCATAAGACACCAGAACGAAAGCATAATTTGGTGCCCTCAGTCAAACTTGTCTTTAAAAATTGACTTTCATTGTATGGATATAGTGACCATCAGGAGGGCTGCCTCTCCTACTCCAAAAAATAATACTCCGTTAGTAAAAATGTCAAAATTATGCCTGTCTCTAATGGTTAGAAATTCAATCTGATAGTAAGCAGGCAGTTTTTTTAAATTTAAAAGTAAGATAGATTCCTCTATCGGATGTTGCTTGTACCTCATCTTCTCATGCAATCAGAGATGACTGACATTCCTTGTTTATCTGACAGTCTCTGTACTGGACTACAACTTGCAGATTTTTGTGTCAATGAATGACATTTGCACAAACAAATTTTTATTTTTAAAGATGGCAGTGTCTTTAGCAAACCAAGGTTTCAGCCACTTTTTGAAGTCCTGACTCATCTTGCAGATAATGTTTGACTTGAGATCCTCCAAGATTGCAGAGAATGTAGTCTAATTGCTGCAATGCTGCAATTTTTCTGAAGAAGGGTCCAGACCCGAAATGTCAGCTTTCCTGCTCCTCTGATGCTGCTTGGCCTGCTGTGTTCATCCAGCTCTACACCTTGTTAACTCTAATTGCTGCAATGATTGTTTTATTACAAATTGAACCTAGAGTGTTTGTGTATGTCTGCATGTTTGCTCTCTTGTGTGTGTGTGTGTGTGTGTGTGTGTGTGTGTGTGGAATTGCAGTAAGCTGATTTGATTTCTCTTAGTTTAGAGGGCACTGCATGCAATATTGTGTAGTGACTTTTTAAAAATATATTATAAAAGACTGAGCTTGGTGATACTAGGAGCATGTGCACAAGCAACAATGTTCTTTCAGAAATATATTTCTAAAAAGTGTTCCAAATATGTAAAATTGAGAAAGATTTAATGAAAGTATTTGCCTTGGAAAAGTAAAGATTTAAAGTAGGATTTTTATTTTTAAACATCATGTGCAGTCAGCAACCATCATCCGATCATTGCTGTCAGCAAACATACTGTTTTAAAAATCTTTTTCTAAAGTGCCCTGAAATCCCCACCTGTTACCCATTTGTTTCAGGCAATAAAAACAGTTGCAGTTGGTGTGATAAAACCAATATTTTTGTTTGTCTGAACATCTTGGATTTTCCATTTGAAGGTGAAGTTGGCCTTTCAGTTAATTCGCAAGCTCTGTTTTGCGAAGATTCTGAGCTGTTTGGATTCAGTGCACTGATGCTTCTCATTTGTTGTGACATGATAATCAGAGCTGTTTGTTGAGCTGAGCTGAAACCGTTCATTAGCAGCTGACTGCAGTGACATTTCTTTAATTCTAGGGAGGCCCTCCTTGCTGAAATGGGAGTTGCTATACGAGAGGATGGAGGCACGTTGGGAGTATTCTCACCGAAAAAGGTAGATGCTTTATACCAAGCATCATGGGTAAAACAAAAAATAAACTGGCACAGGGGTGGAAAAGTTAATCACATCGTTACTTAATACTTCCATTTTCCTCTGGTAACTATTTGCTTCCTAACTTTTCCTAAAGCTTTCTTTATCTACAGTTGCAGCTTTTTGCTTTCCATTACTCACCCACTTTTTTGCAAAGTCTGTTATTGTTATGTCTCCCACGTCATTTATAACATAACTGCATTTTGTGTATGTGACCTCTACTGGTGTGCACTGGCCAGAAGTAAAGGTGTTAGAACTACTTGCAGAGTATCATAATTACTTCTATTTAACATCACAAGATACTTGAAGCATCTGTATGCAGAAGTATGGATGTGGAAAATCAGCCACAAGCTCATTGAGTGGCAGTGTATCTTGTAGGCTATTCAGTCCTTCTCCTCCTGGTTGTTATGGTTTGATGTTCTAACATTGTTCCTTGGGTAATTCCAAAAAGTACTGGAAATAGTGGATACAAAAATAGAAATTGCTGGAAAAGCTCAGCAGGTCTGGCAGCTTCTGCGAAAAGAAATCGGTTAACGTTTTGAGTCGGGTGACCCTTCCTCAGAACGGTGAGGAACGGTCACTCGACCCGAAACATTACCTCTGATCTCTCTCCACAGAGGCTGTCAGACCTGCTGAGCTTTTCCAGCAATTTCTATTTTTGTCTTGATTTCAGCATCCACAGTTCTTTTGGGAAATATCTGATGATTTGTTTTGTCAAGTACCCTCATAAACACCCTGGATAGTTGTGTTCCTTTTCTTTTGTGCTTTTCAATATTGATTTTCAATATTGATGCCTGTTCTTTTAGTTTAGATTAGTTCCTGGAATTAACATTTCACAGATATTTCTATGGTAACTGATGCTGTAAAATGGGATTACTCTGTCTAGAACATTCCCAAAATGTACAAAGACTTTGACCGTTCAAGGTTTGAACGCTACTGAATTAACTCTCAAAGCAAATATTAATTATGCACACCATAATAATGTGATATGAAAAAGATGGGTAGAAAATTTGTGCTAAGTTAAAATTCTGAATTTTGTTTAAAATTCAAATGCACAATATAATTCATTCTCATTGGGATCTGTTCTATTAGTGATTTCCCTTCGTTCTTATGTTCTGGCCATGTTAACCATTTTTTCAGCCAGTAATAGGGAATGATATTGTCCACACTGTTTTAATCCTTAATGTCAACTTAATTAGCATCAAATTATGCCAATAGCCCTTGCTAAATATTTTTCTTTAAAACCATTTTTTCCTGAGTGTAGATTTAGGTCACAAACTTAAGGCATTTGTGTGCACACCAGTATAAAGAAACTTATTTAATTATTTGTTTGTCATTGTCATGTACTTTAACTTCAAATTTTGATCCTGTTTTCTGCCATTGCATCCTGTTCAGATTAATAACCGGGCATCATCTGACTTGTTTGAATCAGATGAAATGTTTGCTCCTGAAAAGGTTGGTTTACAACATTTCAGTTTATGAGCCTGAGACTGAAGTCAAGGGTAGTAAAGTTTTCACCTTGGTAATAGCTCTCCTGAAAATGTTTTATTGAGTTTGTAAGGTTAAATAAAATCCACTTTTGATCGCTTCAGTCAAAGCCACACAAATATCTTTTAGACGTTTTCTAATCAACCTGTTCAGAGATGTTATTATACACCACTGGAGCAGGTGGGATTTAGAGTCATAGAATTGTACAGCTTGTCCATGCCAACCATCTAAAGGGGGGAGGTGATAGCTTAGTGGTATTATCGCTGGACTGTTAATCCAGAGACCCAGATAGTGTTCTGGGGACCCAGATTCGAATCCAGCCATGGCAGATGGTGGAATTTGAATTCCATAAATATCAGGAATTAAGAATCTAATGCTGACCGTGAATCCATTGTCGATTGTCAGAAAAACCCATCTGGTTCACTAATGCCCTTCAGAGAAGGAAACTGCCATCCTCGCCTGGTCTGCCCTACATGTGACTCCAGACCCACAGCAATGTGATTGACTCTTAATGTGGGTCTCCTGGTGCTCAGGTAGGAACATTATCACTGCAACACAAAATGTCCGATTTAAAGAATTAACCCAGACCGCCCAGTTTCCTTGTCCAGTGACACGATCACTGCACCATATCTCCCCCGGTAATTTCGTAAATGATGGTTATTTCGTTATATTACAGAACCGAGAACAGAACAGGCCCTTTGGCCCACAATGTTGTGCCGAACATTTACCCTAAACCTAAGGTCTATCTAACCTCCACCCCTACCTTATACTATCATCCATATGCCTATCTAATAGCCACTTAAATGCCCCTAATGAGGCTGACTCCACTACCCTCTCCGGCAATGCATTCCATGCCCCAACCACTCTGAGTAAAGAACCTACCTCTGATGTCTCCCTTATAACCACCTCCACTCACTTTAAAACTATGACCCCTCGTAATAGCTACCTCCACCCTAGGAAAAAGTCTCTGGTTGTCCACTCTATCTATACCTCTGATCATTTTGTACACCTCTATCAAGTCACCTCTCATCCTTCGTCGTTCTAAAGAGAAAAGCCCTAGCGCTCTCAATCTTTCCTCTTAAGACCTTCCCTCCATTCCAGACAACATCCTGGTAAATCACCTCTGCACCTTTTCCAACGCTTCCACATCTTTCTTGTAATGAGGTGACCAGAGCTGGACACAATACTCCAGACGTGGCTGAACCAGGGTTTTGTATAGCTACAGCATAACTTCATGGCTCTTGAACTCAATCCCAATTATGTTTGGGTTTCCTTATTTGAGGAAGGATGTTCTGACTAGGGAAGGGGTGTAATAAAGGTTTACCACACTGATTGCCAGGGTGGAAGGATTGATATGTGAAGAGAGACTGGATTGATTAGGATTATATTCAACTGGAGTTCAGAAGAGTAAGGGGTGATTTAAGGGAAATCCTTAAAATTCTAACAGGACTAGTCAGGCTAAATGCAGGAAGGATGTTCTCAATGGCCAGTGAGCCCAGAACCAGGGGTTACATTTTAAGGATATGGGGAGGGCTGTTTAGGACTGAGATGAGGAGCCATTTCTTCACTCAGAATGGTGAACCTGTGGAATTTCCTGTCACAAATGGAGGCGATGGCCTAGTGGTATTATCGCTGGATTGTTAATCCAGAGACCCAGATAATGTCCTGGGGACCTGGGTTCGAATCCCACCATGGCAGATGGTGGAATTTGAATTCAATAAATATCAGGAATTAAGAGTCTAATGATGACCGTGAATCCATTGCCGATTGTCAGGAAAACCCATCTGGTTCACTAATGTCCTTTAGTGAAGGAAACTGCCATCCTTGCCTGGTCTGGCCTACATGTGACTCCAGACTCACAGCAATGTGGTTGACTCTTAACTGCCCTCTGGGCAATAAATGCTGCCTAGGCAGTGATGCCCTCATCCCATGAATGAATAAAAAAAAGCAGTTGGGGCCAAAATATTGAATGTTTTCAAGAAGGAGTTAGCTGTAGTTCTTCGGGCTAGAGGTATAAAGCATATTGGGTGAATATGAGAACATGATATTGAATTAGCTCGAAGGGCTGAATGACCTACTGTTGCTTCTATTTTCTCTTAGTTACCTGTTTTCTATGTTACTACGTATTCTCCTCCTAGGCCTGGCTTCTGTTTAGTTGTGTCAGGATTGCAGTATTCTACCAACATGCATGTGTGGACAGCAGCAACTAAACTAGGCATGGCCTGTGGGAATGGTAGCACTGATAATGAAAACTTCTAAGTTGATATAATCTAAAGATTTCCTTAAAGATTTCCAGTGATGTAGCTGGTGGCTGTGATTATATTCGTTTTGGCAGTTTGTTCCATTGTGCAATTGACCTTGGGAAGAAGTACAGTTCGTGAACTGTCTTGAAACAAATGGTTTCTGTAGATCTAGTAGCCTCTTTGAGAGAGAAAGAGTTGATGTTTCAAGTTTGGTATGACTCCTCTTCAGCATTGTTCGGGGACTCGATGCTAGCTCTGTTTATCTCTTTGCCCTGCCAGACGTGCTGCAGAAACTTAGCACTTCATTGAGTCATACAGCATAGAATCAGACCCTTTGGTCCTACTTGTCCATGCTGACCAGATGTCCTAAACTGGTCGAGACCTATTTGCCAGCATTTGGCCCATATCCCTCTAAACCCTTCCTATTTGTATACCCAGCCAGATACATTTTAAATGTTGTAGTTGTACCAGCCTGCACCACCAGCTCTGGCAGCTCATTCCATACACACACCACCCTCTGTGTGAAAAAGATACCCCTCAGGTCCCTTTTAAATCTTGCCCCTCTCACTTTGAACCTGTGCCCCCTAGTTTTGGACTCCCCTACCCTGGGAAAAAGACCTTAGCTCTTCACCCCAACCATGACCCTCATGATTGTGTGTTTTTATTTCAGATTTCCAACAATGTGCTATATTGCTTTTGAGTAGTCTTATTGTGGGTGGCTGCTTCATTTTTTTTGTCATTACTCGGGGTGGGGGGATACTAGTTACTTGCTTCTGTCACTTTTTTCACAAGCCCATTCTATATTTTTCTCCTCACTTTGCTGACTCGCGTTCCAAATATTTGATCAAGGATGTGACACGAATGTGACTGAATCACGTAGCACATCTTTGGACCACTTCAATTTCATCTGGTGATGCAGTGCTAGTGTCCATACCCCTGGGCCAGAGAATATTTCTTCTATTTCCTACCTGTCATGAAGGTGGGTTCGTAACATGTCTGAAACTGTTGCTTAAAAACTACCTTTCCCATAACCCTGGGCTTAATGGTTTGTTGCCATCTTGGGAGTTCTCTCTCTCGCAGTAATGCCCCTGTCTCGCATCTAAAACATTACCTGCAACAGAGGTGTGTCATAATAAGTCTGAACAGGTTGATCAAAAATAATTTTAAAGATCCAAAGGGGTCATATGGTATGGTGGTAGTATCCCGGCCTCTGAGTCAGAAGGTTCAAGTCCC